TCGCTCTCACACTCCTCACTGGTCACTGGAAGTTCAACATGGCACCTCATGGCAGAGAACTCTCTGAGGATCTGAAAAAAGAATTGTTACTCTACATAAAGATGGCCTAGAACCCAGGGGTCTGCAACCTTTAAGACATAAAGAGCCACTTGGACCCGTTTCCGAGAGGGAAAAAAAGACTGGAGCCGCAAAACCATTGCAACATTTAAAACAAATCCGACACTGCATATATTGCAAAAAGCGCTCTGGTCATGAAGGGGGTTTAAGGCCCAGTAAGCAAAGGTAATCAGGGCCACAGTGTATCGTCATAAATCACAATCATAGCCTTAGGTCAGTGTGGGCAACCTTTTTTTCAACTGAGCCAAATCTCGCCAAAACCACGATTAAAATTTATTTTGAGAGCCACATTTTTAAAACTGAAAATACATCCCCCATATAGTAATTCATCCCCCATAGTAATTCATCCCCCCCTATAGTAATTCATCCCCATAGTAATTCATCCCCCCTATAGTAATTCATCCCCCTATAGTAATTCATCCCCCCTATAGTAATTCATTCCCATATTGTGTCAATTCACTTACCTGTACTCTGCGCGTTCCTCTCGCCGTGTTCCCGCAGTTCTGGTCTTCAGGGCGGACTGTGAGAGGAGAGGAGTTCGTCACGCTGCCCCGCCTACATCCTGAAAGCCAATGTTTGCCACGCTCGCGGTGCGGATTATAAGGTCCGCCGGGCCGTAGTTTGCCCATTGCTAGGCTAGCTGCAAAAGTCCTGACTTTTGGGGCGGAAAGAAAAAGGGAGGGGTAGCGGGCCCGGCACACAGAAGAGCTGCATTAACCTCCCTTTTGGTATGATTCCTTCCGATTTTTTGTGCTGAAAGCTCATTGTGGTACCATTTTTTTTAGCATGGAAATAGTTTTTTATTGTAGGCTGTAATTTTTAGGAAAATTTCCCCACAAATCATTATGACTCAATTCTGCAAGTGGTTCTGATTTAAATCGCTGTTCTCTGCCGGTCTCAAAACCGCTTTTGACCTAAAGGGATTATTTTTTGGACGCCATGGACTTTTCTAAGTTTCCAGGCAGAAAGAACAGACAAAATGCAGGCAGGCACAGGACAAAGCACTCGGGACAATATGTATGTGAAATGGGATGAAACAGCAATGTTTTACTATTGAAAATTGAAAAAAAAAAAAAAAAAGACATTTTTTAAATTTTTTAAATTTCCCGCCGCCGGCGGCGCCCGTAAACGTCCCGACGTCACGGGGACCGGAACACAGAAGCCGGATGCCGGCATCGGCCGGAGGAGATGGCCGGGGACGCTGCAGGGGACACATCGCGGAACGAAGGACAAGGTAAGTGCTGCAGGGACTCCCAGAGCAGCGCCGCATGGTAAGCCTGAGTGTAGCTCGTGGTATAGAAATTTCTACCACGAGCTACACTCGGGAAAACCGCCAGGGAGGTTTAAAAGAGCGCGCTCTTGCCGACCACTGAGCTACGGCAACCCTATTGCCTGTCACCTGGTGGGCAGTGTGCTCTGAGCCGCAGCAAAGGTGAAAAAGAGCCGCATGCGGCTCTGGAGCCCGGGTTGCCCGACACCCGGCCTAGGCTATAAGAAGATTGCCAAGACCCTGAAACTAAGCTACAACATAGTGGCCATGACCATACAGCAGTTTAACAGGACAGGTTCCACTCAGAACAGGCCTCGCCATAGTTGAACAAAGATGTTGATTGCATGTGCTCAGCGTCATATCCAGAGGTTGTCTTTGGGAAATAGACATATTAGGGCTGCCAGCATTGCTGAAGAGGTTTAAGGGGGGGGGGTCAGCCTGTCCATGCTCAGATACGCCGCACACTGCATCAAATTGGTCTGCATGGCTGTCATCCCAGAAGAAAGCCTCTTCTAAAGATGATGCACAAGAAATCCTGCAAACAGTTCCTGCTGAAGACAAGCAGACTAAGGACATGGATTACTGGAACCATGTCCTGTGGTCTCATGAGACCAAAATACACTTATTTTTTTCAGATGGTGTCAAGCTTGTGTGGTGGCAACCAGGTGAGGAGTACAAAGACAAGTGTGTCTTGCCTACAGTCAAGCATGGTGGTGGGAGTGTCATGGTCTGGGGCTGCATGAGTTCTGCCGGCACTGGGGAGCTACAGTTCATTGAGGGAACCATGAATGCCAACATGTACTGTGACATACTGAAGCAGAGCATGATCCCCTCCCTTCGGAGACTGAGCAGCAGGGCAGTATTCTAACATGATAACGACCCCAAACACACCTCCAAGATGACCACTGCCTTGCTAAAGAAGCTGAGGTAAAGGTGATGGACTGGCCAAGCATGTCTCCAGACCTAAACATTATTGAGCATCTGTGGGGCATCCTCAAATGGAAGGTGGAAGAGCGCAAGGTCTCTAACATCCACCAGCTCCGTGATGTCATCTTAGAGCAGTGGAAGAGGACTCCAGTGGCAACCTGTGAAGCTCTGGTGAACTCCATGCCCAAGAGGGTTAAGGCAAAGCTGGAAAATAATGGTGGCCACACAAAATATTGATGCTTGGGCCCAATTTGGACATTTTCACTTAGGGGTGTACTCACTTTTGTTGCCAGCGGTTTAGACATTAATGGCTGTGTGTTGAGTTAGTTTGAGGGGACAGCAAATTTACACTGTTATACAAGCTGTACACTCACTACTTTACATTATTATTATACAGGATTTATATAGCGCCAACAGTTTGCTCAGCACTTTACAATATAATGGGAGACAATACAGCAACAATACAGTTCAATACAAGAGGGATAGGAGGGCCCTGCTCCGTGGCGCTTACAATCTAGGAGCAAAGTGTCATTTCTTCAGTGTTGTCACATGAAAAGATATAATAAAATATTTACAAAAATGTGAGGGTTGTGCTCACTTCTGGGAGATACTGTACATTAAGCTGGATTAAACTACTTCTGTGAATATTTGCTGAATGGGAAGTTTGCCAAAACTATATTCTTCATACAGTCTGGGTTTTAGGAGATGTTTTTTAAATGACAGAGCAGACCATCGTTACAAAGTAAGAGACAGACCGTCATTACAAGGTAATTGTGTTCTTTCTGGCAAGTTCAAATATTCTGTCAGCACCCCCATCTAAACTGCAGTGAGCCACAGCCACCAGCCAGCAATCCTCTTTTATTATTTGAAAAATTACGTCTGATTGGTTGTTATTGGTTCATTAACCATCTACATCATCATTGCCCTTTGCACTGTGAAATAAAAGGCTTGATACGACATGAAAGCACAACATTTTATTAGTGGATCCTGTGATAAGAAATCAGAACACAGTGTTTACAGGGAAAAAAGACACAAGACTTATCTCTTTGCTATTTAAGACATTGGAGAGAGCACATTTCATTCTAGACACATTTATTAGCATTAGCACAACATCTCCTGCACTCAGGAACACAACCACAAATCCCACAATGGGTTAAAAACTGGTTGAATGGAACATCTACCCTGCGATGTCAGCACCGGGATACCCTCGAACAACCCAACACCCACATCTGGCGTTGCCACCCAGGAGGTCCTTAGCGTCTCTTAGCTTTAGTCTTGCATTAAGGTGTTTTCTGCTATTGACTAGCTTAGAACTGCCGATCAGTAATCAGAATATGTAGACAAACGTCCAGTATAGAGAATCCAAAAAAAAAAAAGACTGTGGAATGTAAATAGACTGTACATAGCTGGGGTGCTGGATAAGTAATCTGACTGCACCTGTGTCTGAGTTATTTACTGTTACCAACATGGCTAAGTATGAGATATATTGTAGCAAATAAAAATGTCACTACTAATTGGTAAACTGTTTTCAGGTCAAAGAGTAGTAAAAACCATGACATAAAAACATCTTCTTTAGATACTTAAAGGAGGACTCCAAACCGTACATTAAAAATCTGTATTCTATCACCTAAGTAAATAGCTATGTGGTTGATTTACTAAAACTGGAAAGTGCAAAATCTGGTGCAGCTGTGCATAGTAGCAAATCAGCTTCTAACTTCAGCTTGATCAATTAAGCTTTGACAAAAAAAAAAAAAAACTGGAAGCTGATTGTTTTCTATGCAGAGTTGCATCAGAATCAGATTTTGCATGCTCCAGTGTTAGTAAATCAACCCCCTATGTATTTGTGTCTGAATTTTGGAAGCACGTTTGAAAAACAAAAAGGGACTGCTAAAAAAATCATAAGCTTGTAACAGTAGCAAAAGCCTGCCTGTGACAACGCCATGCTTCTGTGTGTTGTGGACACACATAGCCACTGCATACTATGCCATTTGATTTTACAAGGGACACATCCACACATGCTTCTGATTGCAAATCTGTAACCATCATCTTGGAACTGACTCTGTCATTATTTGTACAGGTATCTTTGCAGCTTGCAATTTAAAAAAAAAGAGCAAATGCATATAAACTGATAGTATAAAAGTTTGCTAACAATGATTATCTTGACTGGAGTTCCCCTTTAATAATAAATTCTGTCATAGAGCTGTGTTACCTAACCTCAACATATGCCTGAAGAACCTCTACAGAGTTAGAGTTGAGATGTTTCTGCTCATGTGACCTTACCATGAAAGAACACCGGGGAGGTGGGTGAGATAAAGTGGGGATGAATGGGCACTAGGAAAACCAGATCTTGCAGGGCTGTCTAAGTGATCCCAATAAAGTCCAGGAGAAAAATCTCTGTGTGTATATCAATATATTACTCCATATATTTATGTACACACATTCAAACATACAAACTGGCACTTGCAGTGAACACACTACCAGTCACGTGTATAAGTAGATATGTACGAATGTCGCACTATGTGTGTGTGCGATGTCGCACTATGAGTCTCCTGGACTGTTGGTTTCTGCTCCTATAAAAGTCACTGCCCCCGATACTATAAAAAAAATGCCAAGGATCGGTAAATCTGTTGGAGTAATTTGTCTTGGTAAAGGAATGGAATCCTGGGGCAGGAGAATTACTCTAGGCTTAACCTAGGCTGGTGATATTGGCACGGCCACCGGGAGGTGCCACAATGCGCTGAGTAGTGCGGCGAGGAACATTGTCATCAATTTGTGCACCTGGAAGACAAAAGGTATGGCGTTGTGTGATTCCATTATTTGATTTGTTTTAAGCACAGATTTTACTAAAGCCATAACAACCCCAACAGTATATTGAACAAACTAATACTCAGTCCTTACTTATATACACTTATCTTTTTTACTGCAGTTTCCTGGCACATTACATCACTGGTTCTTTCTTTTCTTTCCCAGTGGTGGCAGTGGCTGGTTCCTACTCCAGGACAGCAAAGGACACATGTAGTGATACCTGCACTGTCCAGAGATACTGGTAGCCCAAGCCATTGTGATTACGCACTCCCTGGGGTGTGTTTATCTCCTAGATTGTAAGCTCGAAAGAGCAGGGCCCTCGATCCCCTCATGTTTTGCATTGTATTGTATTGTTCTGTCACATGTATTGTCTCCCATTGTAATGTACAGCGCTGAGCGAACTATTGGCGCTTTATAAATACTGTATAATAATAATAACAATGATGGCCTGGGTTCACAGGAGGTAGGTTGCATGTTCCTGAGCATCACTCAAACCAAAAGACTGTCCACATCTAGTGTCAGAGAAGATTTACTGTGGGGACAGAGCCCAAGAAAAAGTGTGTATATTTTTTTTCCTCTCTTTTAAGAAGTAGTATAGCCAAAGCTTGTTTAGTCATACTTCTCATGCGTGTCAAAAGAGTGCACTTAGTTCTGCACTCCTGTGATCAAGAATCAGCCGGTAGCGAGCTAAAATGGGTCCTGGCTCCTCTTCTTTGGTGACTGCGGGGTGTGTAGGGACTTGATCCCAAGCCACACTGTCTGCGTCCATAGACAAGAACAGGGATTCAGCCCTGCCTCCCACTCCCTTATCACAGATTTGATTGACAGCAGCAGGAGCCAATGCCTTCTGCAGATGTCAATCTGCCTTTTAAAGAGGAAGATTGCGAAAAGAGTCGCTGCTCCTGGACACAGTTCTGGATTGAGATCAGGCTCAGGTAAATGTAAGGGGGATCTTGGAAACAAAAGGTTTGTTACTTTAATGCAGAAAATGCATTAAGGTAAAAACCTCCAGGGTTTGGGACCACTTTAATGCAGCTGCTAATTGAGAACAGGGCTGGGGAAGGGGCACATTGTTTTGTTTCTGTCCCTTATACAAAAATAAAAGGGAAATGTTATACTAAGAGGGAGGTGTAGAAAGCCTATGACCTCCAAGTCAGCAGTGAACAGACAGCAGACCTGAAGCAAGGAGAGGACCCGGGTCCTGTTGCTATGCTACAGCAGCTGGGAAACCTGTTGAAAGACACAAGACCTGTAGGGGCAAATAAACTGTTCATTTTGCAAGGGAATTTTCCCCAGAGCTTAGAGAATGAGGTGAAGCTCTGCTGACTTCCTTCATCCAATCACGTGCAAGTGAAAACACAGTTTTAGTTATTTTTCCTGCAAGGTAGTGGTATTCTTTGCAAAGTGAAATTTCACAAATTTCACCATTCACTAAGCTCTGGGAATATTCCCTTTGCAAAGTGCAATTCCCCTTGCAAAGTGAACACTTATTTGTCTTTAGTAAATCAGCCCCATAGATTTGCAAATGTCTGAATGCATACACAATGTTTTCATTACAATTTCAAAGTAGATATACTTTTGTGATCAAAATGAAATGTTATGTTGATGATTATAAGTCCTCATGCACACTGGACAGTTTGACAGCGGCTGTTTTTGGCTTTTGACGTTTTTTTCTACAGCTAGTAAACTCCCCAGCATGTTATCCTATGTGTCCATGCACACATACACTGCAATCAACATTTTTTTTTGACTGGAAAAAAAAAACCCAGGACTAGTGGGTTTCTAGGAGTTTCTTAGCTGTAAAAGCACTCTAATGCTGAAAAACGTGGCAAAACGTGGTAAGACCCTGCAAACCAGCGTTTTTGGAAGTTTTTTTGAGCAAAAAAAAAAAGGAAACGCAGAAAAATGCCGCTAAACACTAATGCAAAAACGCTAAAAAAAGCTGAAAAACTCATATTTTTAACATGACTTTACACAGCTAATGTTACCAGCTTTATCAAAACACCCAGTGTGCATGGAGTCTAACTGGGAACTTCTAATAATGATGCACTAGGACATCATTACAATGCACAGTAATAATGCACTAGGGAAAAAAATGCGATGAAAAGGCTTAAAAATAAGGCATCCTTAGCATCCCTTTAGCTATGTATTCTCCCAACTGATGGCCAACAGCCAATCATTAAGCTAGCCTCAGAAACATGCACATCTAAATGGATCCTGAAATACTGTTTTCATAGATCTTCATAAAACTTAGTGTGGACAACTAAGCTCTAAGCAAGTGTCAGTATAGCGGATGTGTAAAGTGGTCCTTATGGCATAAAGGCCTGTATGAAGGATTTACAGAAAAAACATAAAATGGCTTATCCTTTAAAACCTTTTATACTGAACCATACTGCCGCCCCAGTCTACAACCAATTAAGGGGAACTTACCTGACAGACTGAATCCTGACTGGTGCAGGTTCCGTATTGGCTGTGCTGGTTGTTTGGCAGGAGATGTCTTGGCAGAGGATGCAGGTGTTACCGCTTTTGGAGTTACAGACACTTCACAGACAGGACCGTCATACAGCCCTCGAGGAACCCCTCGCAGCTCAGCAAGCTGAAAAGAAATTTAGGTAAGAAACCTATCAATTGACTTAAACTATATAAAATATATATTTCAGTAACAGATAATAAACAAACTCTTCCCATCACTGAATATCTACAAACAGCTGAGTGGAAGCAATAACCATTCTTTGGTTCTTATGAACATAAAGATGATGATATAAAAAAGTGGAGTAGGTCCCAATAGCAGCTAAGCTGGAAGCTGATTAACTATAATTGGTAACAATCGTTACATTTCTGATGCTTTGTGATCTGGTTTATTATCCTTGCACACTCACACAAAATTGAAATGCAACATGTATTTTTCACAACAAGGTCATGGCATACATGACGCACATTGTGTGTGAGGAAAGAATGTGCGGTTTGATACGTTGATCCATGTTGCATTAAGGCAGCCCGTTAATAGTGAATGGGGCTCTCAATGTGCCTCAACACATGAAAGCACCTATGCTATGTTTGAAAATGCAACACCACAATGTTATTGAGTATTCACAACTGTGCATTGTGGTACAATATAGCGCAGCTGCGGTTTTTGGTCACTATGTGTGCATTGGGGTGCCAATGAAAAATGACTGCAAACAGCATTTAACCTATACCTCACTGTTGCTGCCATTCAAAAGTGGAAATATGCAATTGGACCCAGATATCATCTTAGTTAATGCCATTATATGCATTTCCTGCTCTTTCGCTGCTCATCAAACAACAAACTCACCCTGCTTCGGGCTTTGATCCTTTTGTACACAAAGTCTGGGAAGGGTTTTCTAGGAATGTACCGTCCAGATCCTTCAGTAACGTGAAGGGTACCATCCTCAAGAACAATCTTTCCTTGGCTAATCACTACTAGGGGGCTCCCACGGGACTCCATCCCTTCGAAAATGTTGTACTCCACTGACTGCAAATAAAAATAGCACAAGACAAATCCACTTAATACTATTAGGTGTTACTTGGACTTCCTTCCAATGCTGCAATAATTGACATACACTATTGTGCGTCTTGGCTGAGATTGTCCTTATACTGTCTGGGTCCCAAATCACCAGATCAGCATCAGATCCCACAGCAATGCGTCCTTTCCGAGGGTACAGGTTGAATATTTTGGCAGCATTGGTGCTGGTGACAGCTACAAATTGGTTTTCATCCATCTTTCCTGACACCTAGGGAGACATTAAGCCAAGAAAAATACAAGTCAATCCAATCTCAGGATTGTAACATTTCTAGAAACTTTAAACCCACAATTTTCCCGACCTCCCTACATTCTGTAAACTAATCTACATGTTAGGTTACCCCTTGGCCTGATCGCAAATATATGAGGAACATTTCAGATCAAGGAAGTTGTCCTGTTGGTTTGATATACAGTATAAAAGATCAGAAACACTGTATCAAAAATGTAAATGCCACACTCTAAAGCAGGGGTGCTCAACCTGTGGCCCTCAGAGTCCTTTGAGGTGGCTCTCGAGCTCAAACTGAATGGAGTTTTGGTGCACTTTCAGAAAGTGCACTACACCTGCAAAATTTAATAGAAGTCTATGGCAAAGTGCAGCTAACCAACAGGTAAACCACAGCGCATCAGTGTGAAAGCATCCTTATAGAGCGCTCAGGACAGTAGGGCTCATTTGATTCGATGCTCCTGATGATGTCGTCCTACGAAACTAGTAGAGCAGAGACGGCACACGCCACAACGCATACGTGAACCTGCTGCAGCCATCTTGGATTCTGGAATACGAGTTGTTTATATGATATGAAGTGCCTGATTGTCATTTTTTCATTGTAAGTGCATTTACCACATTAATTTGGTGTTTTAATCTGGATTAAACTATGTCTTTTTCATGATACTATGTCCAATGCACAGTGATCTGATATAACACAGCAGTACCATCATTTTGCATGTGGTTTTGAGGAAAACTGTATATCTTGGATTGATACACAAGTGCTGGTTGACCACTCTTAATTGGAGGTAATATGATTCTGGTGAGCCTCCATTTGTTGTACACCAAGGTGCTGTGTGGTTTATCATTATGAAGTTTCAGTAGCGTTTGGTATCCACATCTGTCATTTCCCTCACAATGGAAGAATCACTGAATTCACAGTTTTTGGCTTCCTTTATTTATTCGATTTGTGGTGAAACATAAAAGTTTGATATATTAGCACTGCACTATTGTATTGCACATACATTTTAATTTATCTTAGTGCTGCACTATTGTTTTGTGATGTTTATTATACTATGTATTATGGTATTGTGCTAGCTGCTATGTTTTTTGACATCCAAAGGAGTCCTAGGGCGTTTTTTTTTCGTTGTCATTTAAGGGCTCATTTACATTTGCAGTTTGGGTGGTGGTAAAACCCCATAGTTAGGATGTGTTTTAAACACACATCCCCAACTACTGGTGTAGCGTCAGGGATCACAGTGGCGACCCTGCCCCATGCTCCAGGGGGCCCATGCAGCTTCCTTGTCACATTATGTTTTACACTTGGACATGAGGGGCTGTACAAGAACCAATCATATACAAGAACCAATCATCTCCATTTTCCTCCTGCAACTGCTTAAAGCTGGCTTCTCCTTCTCTTCCTCTCACCACCATTCAGCGAATGCAAGAGAAAAATGTTCATTATGCTATTCAAAATAAAATATTAGAAATTCTGAACCATTTAATTTCTTTGTGGCCCACTACTGGTTCCAAGATCTCTTAAATGGCTCTTGCTCTTCAAAAGGTTGAGCACCCCTGCTCTAAAGTAAGGTCTGGATGTATGGACAACCCTTAAAGGCCAAGAGTTACGTTTGCCTACCAACATTTACAAGCTAGAATACAAAGTCAACAACATGTTCTCCTAGAACACGTCTGGTAGTCTGGGAGCTTCATGGTATAACTGAAAAAATACTAATTTTGCTGTCACTTCTCTATTCCTGGTAAGATATTATAAATGAGGAGGCCCAGGGGCAGAAGTATATCAGCTGCTAAAAGCTTCATTCTATCTTGCTTCCAGTTAAAAATGTAGGGCCTTCTTAATTTAAACTATGGAAGTAGGGATCTTTATGCCCTTTCCTCCTGTAGGTCTTTACTGCTGTCTAGGTCTCCCCCTGAAGGGATGTCCTCTTACTTTCAGACCACTGTCGTTGGGATGAAAAGTAAGAGAAATCTTCTTAAAGAAATCAAAGACAGCAACAGTTGAAAAACGTAGTACTCTTTACAGCTCATCTACTAAGTTGAGATGGAAAGCAGCCTCAGCCTAGATTCCTCCCAGGCCAGGGCCCCTGATATATTTCAACCCACCTACAGGGCTGTCATAGAACTTCTACGACTAGTCCCTGTGGGTGGGGTAAAAAGCATCAGTGGGCATGGCCTGGGAGGAGCCTAAATAAACAAATGAAACAGCACACAAATCTTCATGCTAACTGGTAGTACTATAACTGTCATTCATTGAAGTGCAGCCCTTAGAAGATCGGGAAATCTTGATAATGGTGAACAAAAGCAGAACAAGCTCTGAAGAAAGGAGTACATCTCCTGAAACGTGTTAATTTACCTCACTTAGGGTCCACCGTCACTTTGGACCATCACCGCGGACTCTGTATCTCTGTTTTTATCTCCCTTTGGTTTGCGAGTATGCATTTTTATGCTTTTAAATAAACTCGTGTTTCACCACGGTAATGCACAAAGAGAGTGCGCCCTGTTCTGCTTTTGTTCACCTGGGAGTAGCCTAGGCTGAGGTTGCTTTCTATCTCAATTCAGTACATGGGCTGTAAGGAGTGCTGCATCTTTCAACTTCATTTAGTGTACAAGGCTTGGATGGGCACTATAGACACCAGCACCCATGTCTAGTGGGCCACTGGAGCAGACTGAACGACCGCTTGAAACAGATGGGGCCACAAAAAAAAAAACCCCATGACATAGGTGTCAACCTTACCCCATTAATTGAAACAGTTGTGTTTATTGCGGCATGTGTCCCTACTGGGGCAATCTTCTGTTTCAAAGACCACTGTTTCTGGGGTAGAAACAAAGGAATACTCTTAAAGGGCCCTCAAACAGCAAAAAAAATCGTTTTACTACATTGGTTTTTAAACTCTTCCCCACTTGTTCTCCACTTGTTCAAAACAGAAAAAAAAAAATGGCTGGAACCCTTACGTGAATGACTTTTTAATTTTCTCAATGAGATACTACAGCCACCCCATTCCCTAGCTGCCTTTCTCTTGCTACATGTCTGTGCATCTATGTAGTTTTTTTGCTCCCGTTCAAAACAAATTTGACTCACTGTTCATACAATAATTTCTCAAATAAACCGCTGACCCACCCTCACCCAAACCACTACTCTTCCCACTGTCTGTACCCACCACAGCTCGGTCCCACACGATGCTCATTCTCTCCTCCGCTCCATTGGTCCCTTCTGGAATTAGAGTGAAATTGTCTTTTCCAACAGCTTTCTGAGCTGTGTTAAAAGTGCAGTGTGCACTCCCACAAACCTGCAAGTCACCACTGAGAAATGGGGGGAACAAACATTAATCCCAAACAAATATCACCTTGACTTACAAGACAGGATCCCCAGGCCCAGATACAAAGCACATTTAGATCAAACATATGGCATGGCGTTCCCCCAGGCACAGAGCTTGTTACTGTACAATATCATACCTGCCAACAGCCCCACATAGTCTTACATTCTTAAATTTGAGACCTGGTTCTGAGGACCCAATTGAGTGATTGCACTATAAAGTGAGTGAGGTTTGGGAGTAACTGTCCAGATTAAGGTATGGGTAATGTGGATCAGGGAAGGAAGAAAATTTAACATGAAAATT